CACACTGGTCACATTCATAGAAGGCTAACGCTGTTTCTGTAACAAAGTTTCGCATACATATATATAAATATATATATTGAATTACACAAGGATAATTACGAAATAACGTTCGTCACACCACACTGTAAATACGATGCTGCTTAAAAAAGGGCATAACAAAAAAATAAAGTAGGGTTTCAATATTTAACGTAGAAACGTGGGAAATACCAAGCAAAGAGAGCACTGACATTCGATCGAATGTCGGATGCGAGATATATATCCACGAACGTCGTTCTTCATAATTGCGGAAAATTCATCGTAGCGCAGAGAAAGAAAAAAAACATTAAACACAGGTCGAAGACGTAGTATCGTTGAAGAAACACGTTAGGTACTGGATTAGAGCCATATACATTATATTACATGCTATCGAAGTTATAAACGGACTGATACGCTTATAAATACGCTACATACTTATATAAGCTACCTACTACTTTCAAACTAGACACGCACGTTCGCGAAACAGACTCGATATATCTGTTAAAAGTTATCGTTCTTACGAAGCTCGTTTCAGTCGTGACGGTCCTTCATTTCGGATACTATTGCAAGTAATCAAAGAATGCGAGGAACTGAGTACATTGGCTTTGATTCTCTGATAACAAGTCCCTGTGTGTATGCGTATATGACTCTGATAGAAACTATATAGAATATTGCGCTGCAGGCAAAAACGAGATGCTATATGAAACAAGATACTATTTGCTCGAAGCGAGAAACTTTATATACCAATTTATAGTTCACAGTTTTTCAACGAACCAGGAAACTTCACCCCTCGAGTATTTGTCGCCACATTTTTTTTCTTTTTTCGTTATTTCTATTTCGCTTGAAACTTCCTAACCTCTACGAATAAATATCATTAGTCCGTTATAACCATTGGAAAAAGTATTAAATAAGTGGTGGCTCCTATATTACAGAAGGAAGATAGAATAACACGAAACTCTACGATTTAATTAGTTTAAATACATAATTATCCGATTTTTCTATATCATTGCGTTACGTGGTGCAATTGAAATATGGACATTCGGATAGCCGTGTAAAAACCTTAAGAACTAAAAACAAAAAAAGTATGGACATTCCTTGTTTAAGTCTCCTAACCAATATCAACCTATACTCTGAAATTTTCCTTACATTTTTTTCCCTTTCTGATAACACAGATATGTACAAAAGTATTTACAGATACATTTACATCACTAATATATAGTCAAATATCTCGCGGGGAAAACTTAAATAAATTGTGTATAATGGTTGCAATAATTTAGTTTCATTAAAAATTAATACTTCCTACGGACAAATCTTTGATTAAAAAAACTTATACGACTAACAAGTACTTGTAATCTACAATCGCAGCAACATCTCTAACATGATACAAAGATCTCTCTGACGAACCGTTGACGGTAAAAATCTAGTTACTTATTTTTCCTGCTCTACCGTTACATGTAAGTGAAAAAATTCGGATATCCAACCTTATGTAAGTTTAAGTCCAAAAGATTACTTTATAATAGGTATTTGTAGCGAATATTTATTTTTCATCCTCTTTAAATTCAGTTCAATGTAAGGCGCTTCCTACACCTGGAAGTATTTCTCGAGTCGTAACAGCGACGTAACTAACTCTCGACAAAAAAAAAAAAAAAACGCGAGGCTACACAGCTTTATGAAAACTGCCCACTCTTCGCGAAAACGTGACTCTTAACTGAAATTCAGTAAAAAAAAAAGAAGAGAAAACCCATCGAACTCTGTATACCCTCTCAAGTATTACCTGAATTTCGGATGTACAAGTTGAACTCCTTGCTCGTTCAAGTACTTCAACTTGGCCAAAGGCACGATTGACGTATATTAATTTACGTGCAAACTATTTTTATACAAAAAAAGGAGAAACTTATAAAGACTTCATCTTTAAAAAAATAATTATAATAATAAAGTAACAATAAATACAAGCGACGCAGATGCTACTTTTGTACAATAAAAATGTACAATAGAAAATCGCATTTTCTAGCAAAAGTATTTTAGAGCCACTACCATCGCCCCTGATTTAAAAAAAGTATTGTTCCGGACACGCTAATTCCGTTTTTTGTTTTTTCTGTCTTTTCTACATTGAGTCTACGAATAATAAGTAGCGTTCTTTCTATTCTCCTTCTATTTTCCTTTTCTTAGTTCACACCCATGGTGTACTCAGCTTTCAGTTGACCCAGCACTAGCTTTATATCGTAAAAAGTAGGTCGTCTCTCAGGTTGTAAGTCCCATGCCTAATTAAGAGAATATTGAAATAATAATAATAATTCTGTATTTTTTTTTCTTCTTTTTAAGTATCTTAATACATACTTGTCTCATAATATCATAAACTTCGTGCGGACAACCATCAGGTGGTTCCATCTTGTATCCTTTCTCCACACATTTTACAACATCAGCTAATGGCTGAAAAGAAAAAAAAAACAACAAAAAATCGTTAAAATTACAAATGTAAATAAAATCACGAAAAAATAAAACGACAAAATTCTACTCACAATTCGTGGATATGGTACACGTCCAAAGGAATAAATTTCCCACAGGAGTATTCCGAAACTCCACATATCAGACTTATTTGAAAACTTCTGAAAATGAAAAAAATTCGAAATCACGTTTACACACGAACATGATCGCGTAAAGCCAGTTATCACAAAATCGCAATTTCACAAGTGTGATATTTACATTCTGCTTTAAAGCCTCTGGTGCAGTCCATTTGATGGGCAGCTTTCCGCCTTCGAGAGAAAAATTTTCGTCCCTTGCCAAACCGAAGTCCGACACTTTCGCAGAGTTATCCTCCGCGACGAGAACGTTTCTCGCGGCCAGATCTCTGTGCACTACGTGTCTGGATTCCAAATACGCCATGCCTGCGCACGTGTCGCTGAAAAGGAACAAAATGCATATTTAAAAAGCAGCTCTCCCTCGTGTCTAAGGGATTTACGTAAAAGTGTACCCCACGCGCTGATTTCAACGAAACTTTTATAGATGGAAAACCATTTGACCAATTACATACAACCTATAACTAAGAAGAAAACTATGCTTCCTCGCGATTACGCCATTAATATTTACAATCTCTAACATTCTCGCTTATCAAATTATTCAAGCTAACAGTAACATCGCAGGTATGTCACGTACAAGCACAAGAAACATAAGCAAAATCTTTCGATATATTTTATAAATCACTTCGTATCTACACGAACGACTGAACACATCCACCTCAGCAGAAAGTTTCCGAGAAATCAACGTTGGCGACCTGTGAAACCTAAATCCAACACGATCCACATTTCTACGTACTACGCAAAGTTGATCTGGTCCCTCTTGGAAACGTGCAATCTCCCTCTAGATCTCAGGTAATCCACCAGGGATCCTTTGCTCATATACTCCGTAACCAGGTACATGTGTTCATTATTGAAAACGAGGCCGAGCAGCTTGACTAAATTGTCGTGTATCAACGAAGTCATCAAACTCGCCTCGGCGAGAAACCTCTGTGCAGCCTCGCTGTTGTCTTTCAGCATCTTCACAGCGACCCTCTCGCCTCTATAAACTCCCAGCAACACGTCACCGAACTCTCCTTTACCGATACACTCCCTCAGTTCTAATTCATGGGTCTGTATCACCCAGCCAGCCTCTACAAACGCTTTCGGGTCCACACAGAAGTCCTGTTTGCCCTGTTTCGGCAGGGATTTGGTCAGCTGCGTGCACAATCCGTCAGCATCCTGCTCGTAATGCTCTACCAGCAAGGCGAGATTCTCGAAGAACTCCTCGTCGTCTATAGTCAACTGATTGTTCTTGTATTTCACTCTGTAGTGTTGCACACGGCCTTGATAGCACACGCACAGCGTATAGTCGCCGGGGAAATTCGTCGATTCCCGGACTAGGAACAGGCCGTCCTCGCGCGGCCGCAGCAATCGCTCCGCGGTCTCCCTTGATATCTTTCCGTGGAACCATCTGGAATTGTGATAAGTAAATTTATGTATCAAACGTGATGCGGTTTGATCGAATGTGATTTTTCTTGTTTTGGGAATTATGT